GTGAAAAAAAATTGATCAGTCAATTTAAACCAAGTGATTAATTAACCCAATCGAACCAAAAATATAAGCAGAAACTAATAATTGCTTATGATTTAGAGGAGCTGTATGAAACAATCATCTTTAGGGGAGCTCTATGAAGCCCAAAAGCAATAGATCAATCGCATTATCGGTACTTTTAGAAGATGCATTAATAAATGACGATTGAAATTGCAGAAAGATACTGTGATTCATCTTTATGAATTCTCAAGTTATTTTGGATATCCAATGATAACAAAAATAATTTAAAAAGTAATTTGTTGTCCACATTGAATTTTTATGTGAGATTTCAAGATTTGAGAATTTTACCACAATTTCAAGAATGTCCAAATGTAATTGACGAATTTACATCAAATTTATTCTGATAAAATTTCGCAAAAAAAATAAAATTTAGTGGAATAGAACCTTGAATAGAGTGAAATTAAACTTTAAGAAAGATTGAATTTTAATAAGTTAATCGATAAGCAGAAGAAATGAAAAAATATTTATTTTATAATCGACTTAAAAATTTCAAGGCTTAAAAAATTGTGATTCACAATGAAATGATAAAATAAGAGGGAGTTAGATTAGTAGCCTCGAATAACCATAGAGTAACAAAAGCATATTTCTTCTATAATCGATTTCATAGGCTCATGGGACTTCCTCACACAAATACTTCCAGAATTATTCTGCAACTATTTTTCTATATTTATAAGTCTTTCCTTTGTTCCTTTATTATTCCTTCACTAAAATTTTCTGGCTTGTCAAACTTTAATGAATGAAATTTTACGCTTCTTTCCTAATTGTACATCACTTTGATTCCTTATTAAAAGCAACTTGTAAATTGACATTATTGCAAAAAGAATCCTAATCCAAAAGACACTTTGAGAAAATTTGAAAAAAATATTGCAGATAGTTTTTTAATTAATTGTCTGATTTCGAAGAGTTAGCAGTAATATCATTTTAACCTTAAGTAATAAAATGCCTTTCATAATCTCATGGTTATTTTTCTTTGCAAGATAATCAGCGTACGTATGAAAATTATTAATGATTTTACGTGAATTTAGTTTACATTCAATTTTCTATTCAATTTTAGTAAGATCAAAATAGGTAATTTTCATCGAAATTTAGCCAATAACCTGTTTCAATTTTATCAAAATCAAAATGAGTCTGAGCTTAATTTTAAATTAAACTTTAAAATCGAAGATCGAATATTATTAAACCATAAATTATAATAATTAAATGTCATTGCTATCCAATAATTTCCTGGCCCATCCATTCTTTTCCTACCTTTCCTTCTCTCAAATAATTTATCATTTTATAAAATTATATATTGTGTGGAAAAAATGGTAACTCACAGGTGACCTTGAAATGAGACGAGCAATGAAATACCCAAATGGTATCCTTTATGTGTATTTTTTGCCTAATTTTAAAATTGATTTCAGTTTATGTATTTATGGTCAAATTAAATCAAATCATTTCTAAGATCTATCTATAATTGTCCCAAATATTCATCTCCGCTTTTTTCGTCTTCTCTTTCTTCCCAATTCACTACTACCAACAACAACAGTAATTGTAGGCAGAAATCCAAACATTTGGCTTAACAAAAAAAATGTTCGATTATTTGTGTTACATATAGCCGTCGTATTATCTGTCATCAATATTTTTTATTCATTTATCCTATAAATATGAACAATGAATTGAGTTAAAAATGAAATGAAATAGAAGTTTGGAATGTTGTCGATTAAAAGAAAGAACGTGGGTGAAAAAATATAATTATGAATGAATAAAACGACAGCTCATAATAAATAAAATATAATAATAAATAAACTTCGGAGTATCTAGAAAATTCGAAATTTTACAAAAACCTTTTTAATCCTTTTTAATGTATCATACTCGATTTTTGAGCCTTATCTCAAACGGAATACCATTCTAGAAACTCCAAAGTTCATTTGTTATAAGCTATAACAGAAACAAAGAAAAAGAGAGCAATTGAAGTGGGAGTAATCGAATAAATTAAATGTAATAAATGGTTAATTGAGTAAATAAATGAGTTTAACAACATTTCATGATAAATGACTGAGCCATTAAGTTAGTATTTTTATTTAATTTTAGATAATGTCATTCAAGTAATTCATTCAAATTATCGGTCGATTAATATTCTATTTAACGATGCCCCATTTGATTAGTAACATCTGCTACTTTATAGCTTCCACCAATAAACTAATGCAATGGATGCTTTTATCTAAGGCTATGTAATCTTTTCCATTTTGAAGGGCCTTTCTTTAACATAAAATTGATTTTTATATTGTTCGGTTATTTCTTTGATACAAATGGAGAGCAAAAAAAATGGAAATTGACAAATCAGATATAAGATCAAACTAGATTTGACAAAAAAGTAATCAATGATAGCATCATAAGTTTTTTAGAAGTCGCGTTAAAAAATTCCGTAAAACAATTTTTCGAAGAAATTAAACTGCCATAACTGTTTATATTATCAATGTATTAAAGTAAGCTTTCTAGGTTTCTATGATTTTGGAACTTTTTTAACAAATTGTATTGTTTATTAGTTTTTTATGGAGAATGAACGAAAGAGATAAGAAAGGATGGGACTGTGAATTGAATTTGGTATTCGTTGAGTTTTTTCATTTTTAAACTCAATAATACTTCGGTTAGCAATTGGTTTAATTATAATTTTCCTTTCTGTAATAAAACTGGCTCCATTACGACAAAATTCCATAACTTCGAATCAGATAATATGTGCTGCAAATGATGGGAAGAAATGCATTTACATATTATCCGACTCACAAAATGTCTTTTTTATGAATACATTTCTTCTAAAGTCCTTGTATGATTCGATGTTAAAAAAGGAATCAGAAGGCCAACATGTGCTCGTGTCATCATTTTTTCTTCTCGAGCCTTCATTTGTTTTAATTGTCACATTTTTATTATTAACTTTAACTAGTGCTATAATTCTCATTTAGCTATTTTTCAGAAATTAATTGCCATAAATAAATTCATTAATATGCAGCAAATATCAATCAAATATCAATCGAATTACTTTTTGTACACTCGTTTACTTTACAAAAATGCTAACGAAATGTGCGCAAAACTGTTATCAAAGCATATCAATTCTTTTTCTATGGTAGATAAACAGAAGAGAGTGATAGGAAGAAAATATTGCATTTTAATAAAGGCTAAGCTCAAGTAGATTAATTGAAGAAGTTTCGTCTCATTTATATTTACAAAGATGCAACAATCTCATCAACGAATTAACGTTTAAAATTCAATACAGTCATTATGAAATACTTTATAATATCATGGCGATTACACCAATAAATATTTACAAAACGCAAAATTATAATCAATAATGCATCAAATGCTGCAATTATTATTAGTCATAATAGATATAACCAACATAATTTCAACCATTCCCTTTTCATCTATTTTATACGAGTTAAATCTTTAATATAAAATGGCATTTTTAATTTAGAAAATGTCAATGAATATTGTCTTACTCAATTTACAAATAAAAATTTTAAACTTACCTGTTTTTTTCGCTATTTATGTTTGTTCAGCTTCCTTTCTCATCATTATACACATACTATTTTTGTTCTTACATTTACATTTTAGGAATAAAATGTTGCATTTTGATATTATATTAATGAATTTTAAATTTCAGCCATTTCCTTTTCATTATTTATTATTATATTAATGAATTTGACTTTTATTAGACAATAATTTAAAGAACAATTAATCGAATATTAATTGAAATTAACTTTCTTCCAACAATCTTCAATTAATAAGATATTCTTCATTTTTGCTGAAATTTTGAAAAATAGCTAAAACGTGAAAATTTTCCCTTTCTCTGATCTTCTTCAACTCTCTCACCGTTCAGCTTATTTATGCAAAACTAACAAATACCCCAAATAAGAATATATCCATTTTCTTTCTACCGGAAGTGCTATAAATGGAAAAGTTGAAATCACTCGGCGCATTTGTAATCGTTTCATTGTGTTTTGCAGACAAAAACGGTTTCAGCGCTGTTCAGTTAGAGTGAAAGGAAAAATTAGAGAAAAAATGTGAGGAGGGAAAAGATAGGATAATTTGGTAGGATAATGTTATTTCTTTGATAAAGAATACTGGTATTAATATTATTGATGGTAGTATTTTAATCATTATAGTAATATGGGAAATAGTGATAACAATCAATCAATTAATTTGTGATAGAAACACAGCGTTGAAAAAGGAATTATTGAGAATTAATAATTCAGTCTGATTTTTCGTAAATTTCAAGAGAAATTTTATTAAATATTCAAATTTGATTGAATTTTACTGTATCAATTAACATTCATCAACGTTTTCAATACAATGGTTGTATTATTTTGTTATATAATCGAAAACAATTAACAACTACCATCGAATATTGCTGTATTTTAAGAGTTCAAAATTGAAGCTTATTTTTATTCCGCATTTGCCTTTTCTTCTCTTCCGGTTTAATCTAATTTCTCTTTCTAATTTCGTTGTAATTTTTGCCATTAAATTAGTTTAATTATTTATTACTTTTCTTTTTTCCAAACAATGCCTATTCAGAAATTTCATATATTGCTTGATAAAACTTCGATAATTCGAATTTGCGAATCAGAAATTTTGCTTTGTGAAATTTTCGATCTTTAAAATCCTTTTTTTAATTACAAAATTTTGAAATTTCATGTTTAGTCTTTTTTCAGTTCCATTGCTGAAGGAAGTGCAATTTCCCAAGTTTATGCTTCAACGTAAAGATACCACACCAATAAATTATTTTTCCTCCCTGATTTTTTCTTTTTTGTTATCCATGAATTTAGATCTCTTAATCCGTGCTTTAAACAAATTCAATATGTTAAATTATATTCGTATATTTTGCTTTGCTTGTTGCCACTTATAGAATTTTGGTGACAATTTTAAAAACTCTTCAATTTGCCTTATTTCAGTTATAATTTCAGGAAATGAGACAAGCTTTGTGCACTGTAGTTGGCATTTATTCTTGCTCATTGTTCGTTGTTCAAGCTGGTAATATTTAAATGTATCTTTCACACTTTTAATATTAATTCTAAACATCAGAGGTCTTCAGATTTTTTATTTTAAATTTCTGCATTATTAAATTTTGAAAAGATTCATTATATTTTGCAATTCATTTAGATTTCGGAAATGGATACCTTAATTGACTCAGTTTTTATCCTTAAAAATTGCTGGATTTTTCTGGTTTCTACAGAGATAGTGGTGAAATTAATTTACAAAATACTTCCGCTAAAACGCAACAATATCGGAAATCCTGGTAAGAGGAAATAAGAATTAAGAACTTTTTGAATGTGCAGAGCGAGTTCAGTGCGGTGGCACGGTATCATCAGAAACAAGAAGGCACGTGGATGCATACGTATGTCCGACAAAATTACATCGTGAAATAGAGAATAGATGTTGCAATCCGCCTAAATTTAATTGCTGCCGTGAACCAACATTTTTTGAGAATCAGTAAGTACTTGTTTTTTGTTAACGGTGCCGAGATGACGGTGTTCTTCATCGCGATAGTGATAATAATAACAAGTGAAAAAATGCTTTGGATTATGATCATAGTTCCGAATTTTAAGAAATTTGAGCTCAAAAAGAAAGGATTATATATGATAACGCGTTAAAATGTTAGATAATAAGATTAATTTTGATTTATTCAATTTTACTCAAAAAACTAAGTTGGGATCTGAGGCGGCATATATGCTGTAAACTTTGTGTTGTTTTGTGATATAAAGAATCATTCCACAATTCTAATGAGATGCTGTCCAGATCCAACGGAAAAAATCTAATAATGTATTGTCTGGTGCCGAACGTCGATGTTCAAGAAAAAAATGTTCGATTCAACTATTCTTTACTAATTTATTTGCTATTAGAAAATTCTCACCTTAATGAATTTTAGCTTAACAGCGACATTATCCACTTTGTTGATTGTCACTTTCGCCTTACTAACAACTGTCATCGTAATTTGCCTCTGTTGGGAGAAATGCTTGCTGCACAAAATTATCCGAAAGAAACCAAAGCTTGATTACATCGGTTAGTCTTTTAAAATAAATTTTATCATAATTCATTATCTATTAGTTTACTTCTTAGCGATAACAGTATTATATAGCTTTCTTCCTAAAATAGGCTTTTTATTCTATTAATTAAATTAGGGATGCATATTTTGCCTGCAAAATGAAGGCTGTGTTAATAATGTTATTAACTTATTACCAGTAATGGTAGTGAATTAATAACATTGCCTTCATTTTGCTCAAAACTCTTCAAATAAATTTTTTACTCTGTTTCGAAATTAACAATTTTTACAATTTTTAGGCTGTAAACAAATTCTGGAAAAAATCAGACTGCTATTAATGCTAGCAAAGTTTCGAAGTGTAATTATTCCTTACGTAGAGATTTCACAACTTTCATTACATTCCAGCTCGACCAGAAGAAACGGAACATCTTAATGGTTTGAGTTTGCCAAATGAGTACTGCAGTGAAGGGCATGCCTATGAAGTGAATACAGATATCATCTATCGACCTAACAAAGATTCCCTATGAAGATTGATTGCATTTTGTGGTTATTATAATCTTTTGTTCCGAAAAGCAATAATTCAATGATAATTTTTATAGAAGACATTTGTTTGAAAACTGACGCTGGATTTTTAGCAGAATTTTGTCACATCGACAGATTTGTAGAATATTTTGTAATTCCTTAGAAATCTTACCATGTCAACTTTAATGGAGTAATCATAAAGTTGCGATAATATTATGAATTAATTAATTGGACATAATATGTGTGAGCTAATTAGAAATGCAAAAATTCAGTAAATATGTTGAATTCCTGAAAAAAATCAGTCGAAGTAAATTCAATTGATTTCTTTTATTGAATAGTGCAAATAAGTATTTTATTGCAATTATCTCATTTCTTTAAATTGTTGCAATTCTTTTACAAAATGTTGTAAAAATTCGAAGCTATCCTATACCAATTCTTTATTTAATACATTTAATTGTCTTTTTACTGCTCTTGAAGTCTCTTTGTTTTCTCATTATTATCCTTTTCCCAATATTGTCCCTTTCCTTGGCACAGTTGTCACTAATTAAAAATAAATTCAGTAAGCTTCAAAATTTCTAACATTTGTAGGAACAGCACTTTTTTCTTTCCTTTCTTTCTATCTTATAAATATTGATTATTTTGCATTGCAATCTTAAAAGTAATACTAAAAAAAGATAAAGATTAGTTAATTCGGAAAGAATTAAATTAAAAACAACATACATTTAAATATTATAATGTCAACTTTTCGTAAATTTGACGGTTAAAAGAGTAAATAAACTTGCAACAATTGAATGATAGACATTAATTTGTGTCGTTTGCTGGTGAACTCAATTGCACTTTACCAATAATTTCCGTTCTTATTCTGAGCATTTTCTATAGTTATTGTTGTCCTCATCCACATTACAACATCATTTAAATAGCACTCCATTTACCGGTCTAAGGCAAATGCAGCTCATTACAGTATTTCTTCCAATAAAACTATTTAATTTATTGTGATCGGGAAGTAAAAGATAGTAATCTGTCACTATATCATTTTAACCATCCATTTACAAGCCTATATGAAATACAATTTAGTTTAAAATGAAACTTCAATTTTTGCCACAAATTTGCTTATATTATTATTCAGTATACTTGAAAGTTAATTTTTCAAAATCAAAGATCAAAAAATCTAGGAATCTTTACTATCGCCCTTTTTTTGCCTAAAGCATTATTTATTTTCTTCACATAAATTCTTTTAGTATTACTGACAAAAGTATTATGGATAGTATACAAAAATTCACGCTGTTATTACATTTTCCATTTTGCATGTAAAATATTTACTGATTATTTTGAATCATGAAGATTGCATTTTTCTTTTTTGTTTATCTTCTTTTACCCAAGAAAAATATGAATCTGAAATTCGCAAAGAATTTGCAATGAATTTTAAACTAGTAAATTGCTTTCAAAAACTTAAAACCTTTTTAGTATATTAATTTCTGAATTTTTGCCCTTCCTATATTTTTAATATTATCTAAGCTTATCAAAATTTATCCTTCAATTTTTGTCTTAAATTTTTTGTCTTAAACTCCAATTTTTTTATACGTATTGACTTTACTGCAATATTGTCTTGTGGGTTAAAAAAGTTATTTTTTTATAGTGAAAGACAAGATCAAGACAAAAACAGGACTGGAATATAATAACGATAGGTTTTTAAGGTTGAATAACTCGTTCGTGTATTTCTTATTAGTTAACTTGTATTTATAAATTATTAAATTGACCTGCCTATCTATCCATATTTCTCTCATGTTGGAAATCCCGTAATTTGATGAACTAATAATTAAGAAGTGAGAAAACTTCATTGTATCATAATCGAAAGTTCATTGTACAGCATTGTTAATAACCTTATCAAATATGAAATTATATTATGTCTGAAAGTATTCATGTCAAGGTAATTGGATTCAGGTGATTTTGAGCAGAATGATCGGAAAAAGCGGAAAAGTAGGAAATAGCTCAAAGAAGCAGATCATGAATGATGATCGTATCCATGTAATCATAGATTCAGATAACAATTTCCTTTTTGAAGATCTCCATAAAAAGCGAATTTTTGAATTTGAAGTAAAGCATCGTGCGTTTAAACGTTGTGGGAAATAAAAATTTTTTTCAAGTTGATGATTATTGATTGATATGAACGATATAAACTTCTATTCTCAAATTTGGATCCGCTTTTTGTTATATCTATTTGTTATATCAAATACTATTAAATTAGAAGGCTAAAAAATTTTCTTCCTGAACAATCTCATAAATATTCAATTACAAATTTGAATGTATTGCAACTTTAATTAAGCATATTTAAGGCTAAATAAAGCATAGGAATGCTTATTTTATTTATTAGTTTAACTTTCTAATCAGCTATTATTTTCAAAATTCTGCAACTGCCTAATGTGTTGGTTCATTAATTAATATTATTCCAAAAGATCATACTACCAACTATTTCAAAGATTTTTTAAAGTAGTATTCCAGAAATTCTGAGCAATGTTAGAGATATCCGACATTTTATGCAGCCACATCTACCACTCAATAATTCCATCAATCCGTCGTGTACTATGGATGCGTGCATTAATGAAGCAAAATATGATCGCTTTATTCGTGACAAGACCGCTTTCTACATGTGTCAATTACGAGATACATCAGCAAGTTCGAATATTATTCACCCAAAATGTTGCTACTTCAAAATTAACATTGGTAAGGAAGAGAATGAAAGCAGAATTTAATTTGACAAATTTATATTTGGCTCTTAGTCGCTAAATAGCAATGATATGAAGCTTCAGATAAGTCCATAAAATGCGGAGAAACTGCAGAAAATGAAAAAATTTTTACAAATTATCAACTTAACTGAGAAATGATAATTATTAGAAATGTAAATTAATTTAATTTCCAGTACTGCGACACAATGTAAAAATAATTTCAGTATCGATAACAAGTGCAATGATAACAGGAGCATCGCTCCTGCTATTTATAATATATGTTATTGTTTATCATATAAACACTACTTACTATACCAACAAATTCAGCATTTGGTTATGTTAATTTCTATAATTACTGTAAACCTTGTAATCCCCTTCCGATTTCATTATGAACAATATCAGTGCCTTCTTTATCAACAAGAAATTTCGTGAGATTTTCAAAAATTATCATTATTTTATGAATTTTGAATGATAAATCTGTTTAACTAAACGATCATATTTAACATGATCATTTTAAGCTTGCGTTACACACAACATTGCAATTATTTTGACTATTTTTGAAATAGTTTTTAGATTTCATGATAACATTCTCAGTGTTGGCATTTATTTTCATCGGCTGGTGGTATATTCATTGGTGGTATTTTACGTCAACGAAAAAATTGGATGCTCCCATTAATTTCATCAATGATTTTTTCATGTATTGGAGTATTCGGAATGTTAGTCATAATGATGAATATCAGTAATGAATTCATTAAATATTCTAATGGGCTTGCTAATTTTTTTTTTATTAAATATTCAAAAAAATTAAAAATTATTAAATATTCATTATTAAAATTAAAACAAAAAAAATATTCTAATAAGCTAAAAATTCATCGTTGCTATTGTTATTTTTAGGTAAATATTATTTTCTTCCGCAAGTTTTTGAAATGCTAGGAGAATTTAAAATTTTTGCAAAACTTTTGGAATACACGCTTTCAACACTGGTTGCTTTTTTCAAAGCCAATTTTATAAATCGTTCTTTTATTTATTATAGCTATGAAGGAACTGCTGGATTCTTTTACAAACATTTTTACAATACTAATGTTTTAGCAGCGTTATTATAAGCACTCAAAATTATTATTTTATTAAGTTGGAGATTTGAAATCAAATTTTTTGAATTATGAAAACAAAAGCAATTCGTAATATTTATTAGTTAAAGATAACTGTATTTTGTATAATTTCGAGCAGTTAATTAACTTACTATGATTTTTTTGCTTTTCTTATTTAAAAGATCAAAACTTACGAAGTAATTCCTCAACTTTAATTGGCATGAGCATAATATTTGAATTTTATTGCCGATTTTTTCTAAATTGATATATTTGAAGTAACTGAAAGTTCTAGTACCATAAAATTCGTTTCACTTTCAGGATCTTATTGATAATATTGCTAACGTTTAATATGGTTATAACCATTTGCTATATACGATCCTATTGGTTCATTTCCTCAATGCAAAATAAAAAATTACTTTCTTCAATATCCAGTGAAATTACTCCCAAGAAAGCTTCTCAAATAAATATAACTGAAGTAATGGAATAATCTAAAGAAATTCTAATTTATCATTAAATGATTCATAGGAATCTGATGGTAGGAACTATTTAGTAACTTATCCTTCTAACTGATTTGATCAACATGCAAAAAAGTTTAGAAGTATGATTAGACCAAGTGAAACTAGAGATTATCATCACGTCACTTTTACAAGTCGATGAATTATGTTTGGATGTATTTTTCTACCCTCTATACGATCACTTCTGGCTTCATCATTCGGATATTAATTCAACATATTGTTCATAATGCCGTTGTATGAATATTTTTGATCTTTGATGTTTTGCACGGCATTAATAAAGAAGCATGCAAATTTGATCATTTCTAAAAAATTGATCAAATTTTTAAAAAGATTTGAATTCCAGAAAAAACTTTGAAATTTTCTTGACAATTATTTCTTTTGCAAACCTAAGCTTTATGAAAAATTCGTTTCTTAGCTATTTATAGTATATTCATGAAAATATTTCGAAAAGATATATAAAAAGGAATGCTTTCATTAATTAGTCTTACACACTCATTGCTATTCTGTTTCGTAAAAAGTTGGAATTTATTTTTAAAACAATTAATAAACTAATTAATTTCATGAAACTTCATGTTGTTCACAAACTAATATGTTTGTCTAGTAATCTGGACGAATATCAGCTATCTGATAATGAAGATGTTGAAGTGATCCCAGCAGTATATGTTTGCTTTGACATGAA